AAAGAGGATGGTCAGCGCCAGCCCAGATAGCTGGGCCAACACCCAGTTTCCCCATTGAGGCAGGAAAGGGGGCTTAGAGCAGGAAGCCCAGATGCCTCAGTTCTTTCCAGCACAGGAAGCAATCTGGGTTCCAACACAGGAAGGGAGTGGGGATGTGGGGGGATTAAAAGCTGGATGTCTGGGTCCTTTCCGAGCATGGGAGGGTAGGATAGAAACTACAGCCAGAAACCTGGGAGCTCAAACACCTGGGTCCTTCCTAGCAGGGGGAGGATTGGGATCTGGGATTAGAAATCAGGGGTCTGGGAGTCCAAACATTTGGTTTCTTTCCAGCATAGGAGGGGAGGGGGTCTGGAGTTAGGGATTGTAACTGGAGGTCTGGGGGTCCAGATGCCTGGGTCCTTCCTGGCATGGAAGGAGAGAGGAATCTGGGGCCAGGAGGGGAGGGATTAAAGCTGGGAGCCTGGATGCTTGGGTCCCTCCCCAGCAGGACAGAAGCATGGGAGCTAGGTCAGAGGACTATTGTCAAGTGCTTGGGAGCCCAGGCACTTGGGTTCCACCTCAACTCAGAGAAGAGAAACAAGCTCTGGAAGGAGACTGAACCCAGGCATCTAAAGCTTTATCCCAACTTTAAGAGGAGCAAGATCTGCTGGAAAAAGTGGGAGCCCAAGATTGGGAGTTCTCTCTGTTGTGGAGAGAGGACCAGTAGAGGCTGGAAGCTCAGATGCCTGGGTTCTTTGGCTGCAGGCCCTGGGCCTGCCTCATTTTCCCCCATCTGCCCAGCTCACCTGGATGATCTGCGTGACAGGCCCACTAGACGCCTGCCCGGTCACCGCAGAGCTCTGCACCGGCTTTGTCTGCACCACTGACATCACCTTCCCCAGGTTGGAGATCTAGGAGGGAGTGCATGAGCCCCATGGCATGCTGCGACATGGGGGATCGAACCCCGCCCCAGGGCATGCTGAAAGACGGGAGACCAGGCCCTTGCCCTAACTCATGCTAGAAGATGGGTACCCCTGCCAGCCCCCCTGGGACATGCTGGGAGATGGGAACCAGCCCTGCCCCCCTCCCCCCACCCAAGGTGCCTCCCAGCCACAGGGCATGCTAGGAAACAGGAACATCTGGGTTCCCTCCATCCTCTGGGAGGGGATCAGAGCAGGAACCAGATGTCTGGGTTTCCTCCATGCTTTGGGAGACGGTCAGAGCAGGACCTGGATGCCCAAGTTCCCTCTATGCTAATGAAGAAACAGAGATCAGGGCAGGGCCTGGACAGCTGGGTTCTCCATGTGCTCTGGGAAGGGTAGGGAGGTCAAGGCACAGCCTGGATTCTGTGTGTGCTCCAGAAGAGGCATGGAAACTAGAGCACAGCCTGGACACCTGGGTTCCCCATGTGCTCTGGGAGGGGTGGGGAGGTAAAGGCAAGGCCCAGATGCCTGGGTCCCTGTACTCACCAGGGCACTGCCACCAGGCACGGAGATGGGGCTCTTGACAAGAGTGATGGTCTTGGTGACACCACCCACCACGGTGGTCATGACTTGGGCCTGCTGTGCCACAGTGACAGTGCCTGATTTGTGCACAGTGATGATGGGCCGTGTGGGTGTTGCTGATGTGACCACCGAGGCCGACGTGCCCACCTGAGCCGCTGCTGTCTTCAGCATCCGTGTCGCTGGGTTGCTCACCTGGGGGGGGGGTGGCACACAGTCACTGGGAGGGGAGGGTCCCAAACACCTGGATTCCACCTCAGCTCCAGAAGAGGGTGGTATCTGTCAGGTTGGAGGAGCCCAGATGCATGGGTTCTACCCCATCTTGGGGAAGGGGTGGGATCTGCTGGGTTAGAAAGAACTGAATGCCTGGGTTCTACTCCTGATTGAAGAGAGCATGGAGGCTGCAGGGAAAAATGGGAGTCCAGACTGATGGATTCTCTGGCAGGGGAGTGGAGACTAGCAGGTTAGAGCATGGGAGCCTGGACACCTGGATTCTTGCCCAGCTGGGTTGAAGCAGGGAGAACCAAGAGCCTGGATGCCCTATGTTCTATGCCCAGCTCCCTAGAAGTGCTGTGAGTGGTAGCCTGGGTCCCAAATCAGCTGCAGGATGGGGGGAGAAGAAAAGGAGTGAGAACCTGGACACCTGGGTTCCCCCCAAAACATCTATTGAAAGTGCTGAGGGTCATAGTGACAGCCCAGATCCCAAGGCAGCTGCAGGATGAAAGCCAAGTCTAGTAGGTCAGCCTGAGGGTGAGAACCAGGACCCCTGGGTTCCCATCCAGCTCTCTAGAAGTACTGTGGGTGGCATCTTGGCAGCCTGGGCACCTGGGTCCCAAGCCAGCTACAGCCTGGCAGCCCAGACTCCTGGGTCCTGAAGGGGCTGTAGGATGAAGATGGAGTCTTGGGGGTCAGCAGAGTGAGAACCAGGACATCTGGGTTCTCCTGTTGGCTGCAGGCCAAACCCCTGGGTTCCCCTCGCTGCAACCCAGACACCTGAGTCATAGGGATAGGAGGGCACTCACCATGACAGGTGAGGAGGCAACCTTGACGGTGGCAGGCAACGAGGTGGTACCAGGGGACACAGCCACAGTCTTGACGATGGTGGTGCCAGCTGGGACACTGAGCACCGTGGGTGCCGAGGCTGGCGGGATCTTCTGTGTGGCAGCCGCTGCTGCCGCCAGTGCCGCCATACCACTCATCTGGGGGCTGCTCCCAATCACCTGGGGGAAGGAAAGGTTAAGGGGGCCCCCCCATATACCCCCTCTAGCCTCCCATAACCCTAACAGCCCCACACTTGCCCAGCTCCTACAGTACCCCCGCAGCTCCAATTGCCCACCTAATCCAGATGCCTCCCCATGGGTCCCCTATCAGGCCAGCCCCACACAGCCCCAGCTCCTCAAGACCCCAATGTATCACCCCCCACAACTCTCTTATATACCCCTCACTCCCCTAAACTCTCTGAAGCCCACTCCCCCATGCTCCAAAATCTCCTTCATACCCACCCATGCTCCCTCCAGCCTGCCTACTTCCCCTAGCACCTCCCCCAGATACCCTCTCATGCTTCTTGCACCCCCCACTCACCGTGCCCTGGGCAGTCTGGGTGGGCACTACCATGCGCACACCAGCAGGCAGTGAGGTGACGGCGACTGGAGCCTTGCCAACCTGCCCGGCTGAGCGCACTGTCACCAGTGGGGGCCCTGGTGAGGCCTGCGGGCCCGGCACTTTCAGCACTGTTGGCACACCTGCAGGGTGAGGCAGGGTTCAGTGATGTCCTTCCCTGGGCATTATGGGATTGTACATTCCCCCAATGACACTGTGGGATTGGAGGGACATGAACTGGGCCCTGCCAGCTTTGCTCCCAGTAGATTCTGGGATGGAGATGTGGGGAGGAGCAGAAGCAAGGTGGGTTCTCTGCCCCAAAGCATTGTGGGTAGAGACACCACATCTTCACCCAGACTATTCTGGGATGGAAACCAGAAGTGACTAGGTGCCCAAGTCTGCTAGAAGGGAGCATTTGCTGCCCCCAAGGCATTGTAGGATAACTCAGCTACTTCCTACTCTCCCCCAAAATGGAAAAGGACCGCACAGATGCCCCAAAAGCTGCTGAGATGAAATAGCTGCCTCCCCCAGCCCCAGAGCATTGTGGGATTGCACCGCTACTTCTTACCCTGCCCCACCACTGGAACAGCCCCAAAGGATTCTGGGATAGGAGGAACTGCCTGAGAAGCTTCTGGGATGGAGTAGCTGCTGCCCCCCTCCCAGCCCCAAGGCATTGTGGGATCACATGGCCATCCTTTACCCCCCTTCTCCCCCCCAACCAAGAGAATGCTCAGTCAACTCCTGACCTCCCTGCAAGCCCCAGGGCATTGTAGGAAAGAAAGAACCACTAGTGGGGTATGGGATACCCCAGAGGCTTCTGGGACTGAGCATCTGCCTCCCCACTCTTCCAGGGCATTGTGAAACTGCACAGACACCTCTTGCCCTCTGCCACAGCCCCAGAGCACTGTGGGATAAAAGAGACTACCAGTGGGGTATAGGATCTCCCATAGGCTTCTGGGACAGAATTGCCTCCCTCCAGGCTCAGGGTATCATGGAATGGCACAACCACCTCTTGTTTTTCCCCCTACAGCACCAGGGAACTCTGGGAAGGAACATCCACCTCCTGCCAGCCCCAGGACACAGTGGGACACAGGGCCCCCCACCCCCAGTGCCCCACTCACCCTGTGTGCGGGGGCTGGAGGCAACAGGCAGGGCAGCACTGGCAGGCAGCACCTGCAGGGCGGTGGTGGCAGGAGCAGGTGCAGCAGTGGCTGGGGGCAGCAGAGTAATGCCCACCTGGGCCAGGGGTGGAGCAGCAGCAGCAGGCGTAGGGGCAACAGGTGCAGCGGCAGCAGGCGCAGGGCTCTTGGGTGGGTTGGCGGGCACCGAGGGCACGGGGGCAGGGGCAGGTGAGG